TGCGGGGCGAGTTTGAACGTTGGCGGGGCGGGTTTGAGATTTTGCGATTGCGGGGCGGGGCGGGTTCAATTTTTAAATTTAAAAAAAATATGCGGGGGCGGGGCGGGGCGGGTTGTCGACCAAAAGACTGGACTATGGAGAAGTACTCTTCAACCTCAATTTTAGCGAAACATAAAAGTATGGCCAATTAGTAATTTCCAAAAACATAAACACGTAAAAAGTTTGGCTTATGTAGTAAAAAATCACATTTAAGTCTAGCTTTTTAAAAAACAAAAAAAAATTTATTAAGCAAAAAAAAAAAATGCGTGCGGGGAGGGGCGGGTGAACGCGGGTGAAGTGCGGTGCGGGTAGATGCGGGTTTAAATCCTATGCGGGGCGGGGCGGGGCGAGTTTAAATTTCGCAGGGTCCAGACAAAACCCGCCCCGCACCCGCACCATCCCGCCCCGCCCCGCCCCGCCCCGCCCCGATGTCCGGTGCCCCCATTGAAGCCCCCACTATATTCCGATTGGCGCCGCACAGGGCCCTTTGGGAAGCGCTTTCTACCGATGATTTTTCCATATCCAAGTTTGTCCAACATTGTTCCATACGTTTTGGTTTCCCCACATTTTCAGCTGCCGCTGAAATAGAATTGTTAAAGACGAAGAAGAATAGTACGGAAAGATGAATGCTCCAGATCGTTACGAACGATTTGTCGTTCCTGAGGGGGTTAAGAAGTAACTACTCTATTTTCTCACTATATAGTGTTAGTTAGTAGTACAATGGGTTAACAATTTTCTTAATTTAATTAGGGTTTAGTACGAGAGAGACACAAAGATCATAAATGCAGCTACTTTCACCATTGAAAGAGAGGAACACACTATCGGAAACATTCTTCGCATGTAAGTAAAACACACTTTGGATTGCTCTTTTTTCTCTATTTGTGTTAAAGTTTCATTCTTTTCTTCGAACCTTTCCTGCACCGTTGTAAAGCCCTGATTTTTTGGTAATATTCACTTGATTGTTGAACATAACAGGCAACTGCATAGGGATGAGAATGTACTATTTGCTGGATACAAGTTGCCTCATCCTCTTCAGTACAAAATCTTGCTCAGGGTTAGTAATATTCCTATATATTCTTTTGTTTGTGCCTGTTTCTTCAGCTTTTTGTGTGTTTTTTTGCTCGTATAATTGCAGTGCATTTAAGTGCTCGTTTGGTTGGTTGGTATGGGGAATTAATCACGCTATAAAACTCCGCATTGCTTGTACATTGTTTGGTTACTAGTTTGTTTTCCCTCATAAATAAATAATACTTGTATACATTATGCGGGAATGTATGTATTTTTTTTATGTGGGATAGGATGTGGAATAACAATATTAGCAATACATAGATTAAACATTCAACACAAGATTTATCTCAACCTAAATAATTCCTAATTCCTGCATAACTTCTCTTTGAACCAAACAACCCCTTAAAGTAAGCAAATGTGTATAGTTTTCTATGTGATAATTGTGAGTGCAAAAAAAAAAAAGATGGCTTGGAGCAACTAGGAAATGTCGTAGCTTGTTATATTGCTCACAAAGGATAGCAAGATGCATGAGTCAAGCTAGTTATGTTCTAAAGGTGCACGTAACAGAAAGAAGGGCAGTGAGTATTCACAAACAAGGATGAATATGAGAAAGATAGGATTGTATTCACTAGATAAAAACCTGTTCCTATTACTTATAAGAGTAGTTGAAGAAGCTGAACTGATTGGGGTGGGAAAATAAAGCTATGGAAGCTGGAAAGATGTGTCATGCATTTAGTATAGTAAATTGGAAGGGTAATTTCAGTGGCCCGAAAGGAAAGTAATACGGTTACATTTTCAGTGCTTGCTAAGTGCAGATAGCTAGTGTATGGTTTTCCAGCTAGTTGATCGCTTTGGTGGATATTCCTCTGCAGAAATGACCAATTTAGATTTCAAACTGAGAAGTGAGTAGCAAAAAAAAAAATCAATTATTGACAGTTAAAAAGATTCTTTGACTCCTTTTCCTCATTCCTGTAGAAGCTTTCACGCTTCAAGACTCTCCTTACGCTATCTTGCACCTTGAATATGACTTTAACAACTAATAAAAGAGGAGTTAAATTTAAATGGAATATTTTGAGCGGGTCTTAGATGACTGCAGAATAGACTATAAAAATCATGTATTACGTGTGACAAGACAAGATTTAACGTTGTAGGTCGGTCATAACTCAAACGAAAACAATGATTGTTGGTTTTTGAATTACTCACATAAACAACGATGAGTAAAACAGTTGTAAAGCTACAATCTGGTGAAATATACAAAGGAAACAGAAAAAGAAAATCACTAGAATGTCCTTATATATATTAATAAAAAAAAAAACAATATAATGTCTC